TTTTATTTTTTAACAAAGAATGTTTATAAACAAGAGTATCATTGTGTCAACTGCAGTTGCTTCTCATAAGCAGATGAAATCTGACACTTTATGCATCGAATTAAATAAAACTTTTCGTGTTTTCATTTTATTTTTTGAAGTTTCTTCTAATAATAGAACTTTTTAATACTTTTGATTAATTTACTTATGGGTGTCATTAACTAAATTTACCGATCATGGCAATTTCTCTAAGTCCTAAGAAGTTCTAAAAGTAACATTGAGGTATATATTGAGGCATAATGTTCACCTAGCTCTCTGTGAGCGAAACAAATAATCTCTTTTTGAGTAGATTGTTGCAGCGGATTGTTCAATGTTGACAACGGAAATTAATAATCTTGTCAGCCTGCTCAATACCTAAACATTTAAAATAGGAATTATAGTCTTTGCCACAAACTAAAGTTTTAAATTCTTATATCTTTGGAAAGTGGTGATTAGACATTGTGTTGCAATGATCGCGAATATGATCGCGACTAAATAAATGCTGTATAATGTGGCGTTTATCATGGGAAATATAGGGAGTTTAAAAAACACGGGAATTAAGGAACCTACTCGAACCTAACAACAATATAAAAAAGAGTAAATATATTCAAGGATGGATAGCTCCAGGTTCAAGTGTAGAGCATATAGTACCTTAAAGGATGAGTGGATGGATGGATAGCTCCAGGTGCCAAGTGTAAACGGATCTGTTAACCAGCGGTGTCTGTGAACACGGTTTGGTTTGGAAATGCAAGGATCTCCACTGAATTTACTGAAATCGAGTTTTCATAATCTTTTAATTTTTCAAGTAAAGTTACTCAAAAAAGTTTGTAAAAATATTTTTGATAAAATGCCCCCCGAAATAACCTTTGTTACTGTCTGTCAAGTAAATGAAATGAACGATTGCTTTTCAAGCCACAAGAAAATTTACTTTAATTAAAATTAAAAAAGAATTTAGATAAAGATTCTTAATCAGAGTTTAAATTTCGAAAATTCTAAATATTTACACACTTTAAGTCAAAAGTTCCCAGTTCATGCAAAAAATGAAACAGAGCTTTTCTTTTTAGGAAACACAAAAAAGTTGCCAGTAGGCGAATAGTAATAAGTAGCTCCTTTCTATTGCAGAAGAGCAAGATAGTGGCTATGTTAAATTTCACTGCATTAAGTTTTATGCCTGTTTTAGGACAGTTCAGGACTAGTTTTGTTGTAAGCAATAAATACATGCATATTGTATCGGGACAGGTGTACTTTGAGCGAATTATTAATTACAAAATGTTGTATGAATAGAATTAATTTAGTTCTTGAGCTGTCCTAGTATGTTAAAGTAATTAAAACCCTCTCTACGGTTCTCTTTGCAGCTCCTTTTATACCTGAGCAGTTCTCCAGCAGCTGCTAGAATATCAACGTCTTCTAAGCTGTCAGCTATACGAGCTGCTTCTCCATGAACCCACATCAGCAGCTTGTTGCTGCACTCTTCCAACTAAAGAAAGCTGTATGTGAATTATACAAAGTATGATAGATAATTCTTTTAAAATAAAATTTACGTATTACAACTAAACGGAAATACATATATTCTACAAATCATATTTTGTTATAATCTCATAGATATTTAATATGTAAACATTTATTATTTGCAATAAACTCTAATGCCGTTGTATAACCATCTTTAGTAGAGCGTAAACAATTGAAAATAAATTCATTACTTTTTCAGTGTTTAACTAAGATTGACAAACCTTGCTTTCTTCCAAAAATAATTTGTTAATAAAATATTATTTATAAAGAAACTCCTTGGTTTATAGAAAATGTTTGTTGATGACATAACTAAAATAATAAAGAAAACATTTCAGAGCTGGAAACTTTTAAATGGTTAAAAGTAAAAAACTCCGAGGTTTAAGTTTGACCCATTGAGAGATCGATTAATTAAGTTAAACCTGATGTATTTCATATATAAACAAGTCTAATAGAATAAACTCCTAGAGTCAAAATAATAATTTATGTATGTAACTACAAGCTATTCAAAAGTTTCCAAAGTTGGGAATTTATAAATTGGCGATATGAGTTAAACTCATTCTCTCTGCGTTGGGAGCTTAATCTCTTTATTATTGGCTTATCTATCGGTGAGGAGAGAATAAGTTAAACTTATTTCTTTCTTTCAAAAGATCATAAAAAAAGTAATTATTTCCCAAATATCGATTAAAAGTTTTGTGCATTTGGCGCAAACTCTGATTTTCTAATCCCTATAAATTTAAAACCCAATGTCGTAGCCCTTAGATATTTAAAATTCTGTTAGATCGAAAAATCTAAGATTAAACAATCAAAGGATTACACAATCATGTTGCAAAAATATAGGGAATAAAAAATAAAAAAATAAAGTTTGTGGCAAAAACTGAGTTTCTTGACCTCTGTAAATCCATTAACTGTGATAAACCACTGTTTAGGTAGCTTAATCCCGTCCAGTTCCTTTAATTAGAAATATGTATATTTTATATAACAACAAAACTTAGGTAATTAGAACACAGTTGTTATAACTAGAAACAACTGTTTGAATCTCACCTCTGATGGTAGGTTGAGATCAAATCTTGATAATTTTTGCTTTAAGACCGGATCATTTTATGATCATGAAAATGCATGACACTAGTCTGAAATTATTGTATTACAGAGCAAGGTCAAAAAACCTAAAATATAAAAGTATTAGATCATTGACATTACAATATTTTTTTACTTTCCTTTAAATATCTCCCATATAAAATTCCTAAATAAATGTTCATGTTAGATTAAAATCAGAATTTGTAGATTTAGGAGTTCTTACAATTATAGGAGTTACAAGAAGTTTAAAACATTTCTTACATTTTCCAGGTCGTCTTGATTTTCACATCAGTTTAACTCCTCCTGGTGGCTACTCCTGTAGCTGTGGTTGTAGAACTACTCCTGTAGCTGTATTGTAAGGAATACTAACTCCTCCTGGTAGCTACTCCTGTGGCTGTTGTAGAGGATACTCCTATTAGCTACTCCTGTAGCTAAGTTTGTAGAAAGAACTCCTGCTCTTGTTCCTGGTAGCTACTCCTGTAGGTGTTGTAGAGGATACTCCTATTAGCTACTCCTGTAGCTAAGTTTGTAGAAAGAACTCCTGCTTTTGTTTCTGGTAGCTACTCCTGTAGCTGTTGTAGAGGATACTCCTATTAGCTACTCCTGTAGCTAAGTTTGTAGAAAGAACTCCTGCTCTTGTTCCTGGTAGCTACTCCTATAGCTGTTTTGTAGAGGATACTCCTATTAGCTACTATTTGAACAACAATATTTCACTCAGCAATATATAATATTGACGAGAACTGAAGAAGGACATGAGAAGGACTAAACTAACTTAAATTTCTCTCTATAGAACTCATGTACACCACAAGTGCTCAATGACATAAGAACAGCCAATTTTCACAACCGACCTAGTTAATCTATATAATAGGAATATCTTAAAAACATCTCATTTATATCTTTCAAGATGAAAAATGTCGTCTAATGAGCAATCTATCTTTATCTATGGTTATATAGACCTTAGATATTTCAAACTAGGAATTCTGATAGATCAAATATTCTGAATTTGAAATATTAAAGGTTTACAACATCAGGTTCCAAAGGTTTACATATTTGAGTTTGTGCCAAAGACTCAATTCCTTTATAAATTGACTATAAGAAAAAATAGAATCCTTCCATCATGTTATAAGCATCTAATATGTCGACGTCTCGTTTTTGCAAAAGTTTTAGTTTAAAGTATCTTAAAATTTTGTGTTAACAGTGAATTTAGACAAATCCTTTGTCTTTGTCATTGGCAGGTGTTACTTTTTAAATTTGTTTCCTTTTAATTTTGTATTTTCCAGGGGGGACAGGGCCCCCCCTGGAGGAACTCCCAGGGGGGGGCAAGAAGACTACTGCCCCCCCCCCTATGTACGCCACTGATGGAAAACAAGAAAACTTAAAATCACCGATTTCGTAGTTTTTATCTGTAAGACGACATTTGTAAGCTTATTTCAAAGATTTAAAGAGATATCTAGTTTGTTATGAGTGGGGTTATGAGTGGTATGTGAGTAAGATTCAAAGATCAATTTTCAGTACAGAAGTGTATCTCAAAAACTAAAGAGAACCCATATTCTCAAAACCATGTTGAGTTAAAGCCTATTAAAAGCCTGGTTCCGTGCATGCTGTTTTAGTTTTAAAAAATTAACATTATTTTTATTTCCCAAGTGCCTCAGAAAACAAAAATTCTAATTAAAATTTAAAAAACCCGCGCTGAACGTACATAGAATATTTGAAAATTATGTGGCATGTACTTAGAAAAACGCTACACTCATAAAACGTTACCTCAAACCTCATAATATACGCCACACTCATAAAACGGTTCCAGATAAAACGCTGACGAAGAAAAAAACGCTACTTTATCATTTTTAGATTTGCATGTTTATAATTTCATAATAGAATATGTAAACATTCATTTCAAGTTTTGTTGATGTAACCACATATATAAATTAAACATGAAAAATATCTAATTACATTTATTCATAAAAATCTTTTAAATTGTCAATATCAAATACATATCTGATCAAATCATTGTCGAACTATACAACCTATAATTTAGACAATTTATCTCTGATAAGATACCACACTGCTCTCTGCACTTTGTATATGTGGGCACTGTGAAAGGCTTTACACATGGGAGGGAGGGAAGGCTAAGCGGCCATAAAACTCATGCTCGATTAGTTAACTTCCTATCTTCCTTATACGGTCATGGTCAGGAATTATGAATCTACAAGAATAAAGAAGACAAAAACGAAAGAAATTTAATATAGAGCCAATATGTCTAATGCTAATCCGGCTTTACACCCACTCTACTTTTCAATCGGAGCCATTTCTGGAAGGACCATGTTCCAATCTGATTAATAGGGACAACTCTGCATTGGTATTCAGGGGTGCAATTAAATGTGATACTACCTGGAATGCCCCTGGACTGGGAAATAGTATAAAACGTTGACATAATATCCATACCTCGACGTCAAAAGAATTAGTGCGTAATTATAACCTTCTGCTTGATTATTTATTCTAACTTTGACGTTAAAAATATTCCACATTTTTAAATCAAGCTAGATCGCCAGTAATTTTTTTATGTAAAGCATCATATTAATTGTAAACTTTTTTTAATGTCAATAGTTTTGCAACTTTTTTCAAATTTTATATTCCTCTTGGAATATCAGCAATTTTCACTAGGCGAAACAAATTACCAAACTTAGAAGCACCCGAGCCAGATCCAGATGTTTCTCTGCACTAGTAACACAGGTACGATATTATAATTGACGATTT